CGGAAAGTTGTATAATATTGATATTTGTCTTTTATCAGAACATGTGTTTAGATCAATGATATAAAAAAAGAGTTGATTTATAATTTCATAACTACAAATACAATCGATTACTATATCAATTTTTTTTTTAGTTTTTACCTCTCTTATAGGCTTTCCATCATAATTTGTCACTGCATTGCCAGCTAAGTTTAATTCTTTTTTCATGTATTCAATGTGAAAACAGTCTATATCGGAAGAATTGAAAAACATTGCTAAACTTTGCACCTACACATTGCGAAATGGTGGTTATTAAATAAATTTCATGACAACTATTCAAATTCCCAAAATAGGAATCTTACTTCATTATTCATCTTTCCTTTCCTGTTATTTATTTATCTTTATTAATTGTTTACAGTATCTTTCATTAAACTACTTTTTTTTACGAGTTATTTCTATAATAAATTTGGAATATCATTGTACGTAATATAAATTCTTAGTGTCCATTGTCGGAGTAAAAGACCGTCCATTATCGTTATTGTATCTACCTAAATAAGCTTAACACTTGCATAGTGTCACCATTACGCTTTTTTCATACGTAGCCAAAATTAGATGCTTATATACTGCTGTACTGTGTTTACAGTACCCTGCAAAAAATTCTGGAGACCAATTTGATTTATACCCGTGTGATAATATCATATTTACGTGATATATAATAATAAAACATGTTCTTATTTACCCTTCACACAAGTATCCCGGGTACATACTAAAACGAGCAACAGTATTTCTTGTCGCGGATGATACTGAAATCGAATGATGAAATCTGAGGGCCTTAATTTAGAACTATAAACCCTACTAAAATCAACCTATACTCTTTATTATAAACCCTAACACTAAATCTAGTTCAAATCTAAAAAAAAAAAAAAAAAAAAAAAAACTAAAAACTAAAAAAATGTACCCCAAAAAAAATTTAAAAATCGTACGTTAAATAGATTTTAATTTCAGCATTATCTGTGACACTTCTTTGAGTAAGATCAGAGGAAAGGAGGTGATTATTTTAGTCCTCATGGTATTAGAAACCCTCGGCGAGGATTAAAAACCCTCAATTAAGCGGTTAATAATCCTTGGACGAGAAGAGAAACCAACAAGATATTAAAACTTCAGTATAAATCAAGAACACAAAAAGGCCCTAACTTAAGATTTGAGAAATTACTCTAGCAGCTATTTGCATTGTTTGATTCATTTTATGCTCAAGATGTACTGTGGTTTATGTATTAAATTTAACTGTACACATTAAACTCTTTAATTTATTACAAAAAAAGCCATTTTTATGCTATTTTTCTCGTTATAATGTATTTCGTCACAATTACTTTGTCCTTGAACCTATAAGTTGATCTATTGCCATTTCGATTCATAAATAAATAATACCAATTTTGTTTACAATTGAAGCTAAATTGGGTTATACCACCCGCAGACTGTCTACCGGATGGTTTGACTCTCATCTGCTTATGAATCTATCTTAATGCTAAGAATGCATATACAAAATTGATTCTGTATAATTTTAATTAATAGCTCAAATCATAAAATTTTGTACAATTTGGTGTAAAATGTTTTTGAATTACAACACGGCATGCTAACCAATCAAAGAATAGAATACTTCCAGTAGAACTAAGTCCTAAAATCGGAGCCAACAATAAATTAAACTGGCATGACAATACATAGTGTTACAGTTTCCTGAGCATGGAATTTGGGCCCAAACACTATATTCTTTCCTTTTCTGTTTATTATACGCAAATCGCACCTGAATTAGTTAGCTATTAGAAATCAGTTATTTAGTTTCTATGTTAAAAATAAAGCGTCCATGTTGAAAATTAAATTTTACTAGAGAGTTTCGAGAAAATGCGTTTCAATTATTATAATTATAATTTTTTATTTTTAAAAAAAAAAAGTATAAAGCGAAAGCTCTTTGCACTGTTAATAAAAGTTCAAACTTCATTGTCGTTATTGAATTACGAGTAAGAATCGATTTCTCAGGTGTTATGTAATTGTAACAGCTAAAATTAGAGTGACAAGGGTTCTGTAACGACAGAACCTGCGCAGAATTCTGCTCTTTGTCTGCGGCCATAATAATAAACCATTAGTGTCTATTGTAATAAAATTATGATTTCCTTGTTTTCTTTCTGACTTTGTTTTTGTGCGTCAATGCAGAATCTGCAAACTTAGTACTAAAATTTCTTAAAGAAAACTTTTAGTTAGTGCGCAAGAGGAATTTATAATAACAATTCCGTGTTACTTACGTTTTTTTTTGGATTGGTTTAATGTTTTGATTGTGCCTAATTTTGATATTTGATTGACCAGTGAATGTTTTGGTAACACCAGAAAACTTTTCGACAACAAATTTGGGGAACAGTGAAAACAATTATTCGAGTGATCCGAACATAAATTAGGATCAGTATGTACACATCATATTTGTTGGTTTAGTCATGTTTTTCTTTCTTTATTTTATTTTTAAAATCTAGTGATGCTGTTCAATTCTTGTAAAATAATTACCATTTGTAGTTACAGTAATTTTTCTGAATAATGCCAGAACCATATGTTTGCAAGCGAGAACTCTATGAGTGCTTCTAGGGAAGAACTTGAAAATTTAACTGTACCGAATTTAAAACTCGGAAAATTATGGTATGCATAATTGTAGGGTCTTCTAAAGGGATCCGCCTTACTTCACCGACAGCTCACTTAGCCGACATCACGCCAAGTGACAATTTACTAAAAATAAATACCTGCAACTAATAAACGCTAACCCTAACCCTATGTGATGTCAGCTAAGTGAACTTTAGGTGAAATGATTGTCGGTGAAGTGAGCAGCATCGCTTCTAAAGCGGAGCGGAATCATGTGATATATGACCAATCAAATTATAGAATTTGACGATCGCCGGCGAAGCAAACCAAGAAAAAAATGTCAGGAAGGCAATTTTGCATATATGACTATCTAAACTTACTTTAACCAAAATCTAAGATGACTATAACCCTAAAAAGTTAATTTAATAAAATATATACCGTATTGTCGCGAAATAACGCGCAGGGGTGGAATTACAAATTTCGGCCCAAATTAAGTTTAATTCGGGCAAACATCTAATTAATGCCCATGCCCGTTATTTCGCGACTATACGGCATTATAAAAATCTACTCCGCTTTAGACTTCCCTAATTGTAGCAGTTAAAATTAAGATCGCTGCTCTAATCTTTTTAATATTGTATATGTGTGAAGATGCAACACGGATCTGCTAAGTCGTAAGCTGGTAAGCCGATCGGCTAAGCCGAACTAATTGACGGTATTATTGGCATTAAACTTTTTTAGGAAATGTTAAGTTAGGATATAGATTTCCTAATATAGTTATCGATACTGAGTATTTAATTCCTAGAATTAGCCCTTAGTCCGATGGATTTCACATTTTGAAGTTGATAGTGTCATGAGAGAATGATGCATTCGGGTAGATCCTCAGATAATGTGATGTCTTTCAATGACACCCACGCATGTATATACTATATAACACTACTTTTGCGTAGTACCCAGGTCTTATCAAAAACCTTGGCTTTTGAAACTGATTAGTACTGTGGGCATTCCAGGTATAGTGGTAAGGAATAAAACAAACTTAATAATTATGTTAACTTGCAATTTCAACACAAGAAAATAATACTTCTCCTTATTTATTTAAGCTAGTTTTATTTTTATTAGAGAAAGCAATATTGTAAGTCATTAATTAGTTAGCTATTTTTTCTTTTTTTTGTTCTTGATATTAAAATATTTTTAAGCTACTACTTATAATAGCTAGCCCTATCTATATAAATGTTTATTGGCCTATACTTTTTATGAAGTGTTTTATACAGAGTTGAAAAAAGCTTTTGAAAATTTCTGCATTAAAGCTGCTATAATAATTCATTTGACAGAAGTAATGTTTGCATCTTTAACATATTGGGTAAATTATTCTATTCTTTATTATTTATTTTTAGTTTCTTGAAGTTTTTATTGTCAAATTCCAAAAATAAACAGAGTTTAAACCCAGTTCACTACAGTGAAACTTGAAAAAATGCATGTAAAAAAACAATAAGAAATGTATTTATAGAGGTCATGCATATGTTTAAACAAGAGGTTGAGTGTGCATTTAGAGTGGGTATGCATTTATAGAGAATGTATTTATAGGGTTTTACTGTATATTGCTTGTTAGTAGATCTATTACAGAATATAATAATTGCTTCAAAAATTACAGTGCATAACACTTAAAGACTACAAGCTTTAAAAGCTAATAATTTTTGATCTAAAAAAAGTTATTTAAAAAAAAATAAACCCATTATTTTGTAGCTTAATCAATTTACTACAATTTATTGGCTTTATTTTTTAAAAAATTATAATAACTTTTTTTAAATAAATAGCTTTAAATAATAGTTTTTTATATAATCACTTATGAAAAAAGTTAAATATGGAAAAAAATATCCAATCAAATTGGTTTAAATTTATATACTAAAATTTAACATATTTAACTAATCAAAATTCAGAAAATCTGGCTCATCAAAATTAATAAACTTTAAAAACATCAAAAATTAACATCTTAAAATATATTAGTTTTTAATTTTAATTTTAAAAATAGAACAAATGTAGTCTTTAAGTGTTGTGCACTGTATAACCAATAAATTATGCCCAGATACTAAAACAATATCTAGATAAAAACTTATATATTATATAAAATATAATGTAGATAATACTATAATATCAAAAAAACTCTTTCCGTAGATCCTTAGTACAAAAAATTTTCAAAAACCGTCCAACAAAAAAGTTCATTTTTACAATATTTTACTAAGATAACTTAATTCTTTGCTCTAACAAAACTT